AAAAATGCAAACATGTGGAAGCTAAATAATATGCTATAAACAACCAATGGATCATGGAAGAAATCAAAGCAGAAATTTTAACATACCTAGAGATAAATCAAATGGCACAAGGTTATGGGTTTGATCCCCAGTACATCAGTTAAATAAAAAATAACAATAAATAAATAAATAAACCTAATTACTCCCCCCCAAAACCAAACAAACAAAAAACCAAAATGAAACATGCAATCCAAAGCCTATGGGACACAGCAAAAGCAGTTCTAAGAGGAAAGTATAGGAATACAAGCTTAACGCCGGAAACAAGAAAAATCTCAAACAACCTAAACTTACACCTAAAATAACTGTAGAAAGAAGAAACAAAACCCAAAGTTAGTGTAAGGAAAGAAATCATACAGATGAGAGCAGAAATAAATGCAACAGACTAAAAAAGAGAGATCAATGACACTAAAAGCTGGTTCTTTGAAAAGATAAACAAAATTAAACCTTTAGCCAGATTCATCAAGGTAAAAGAAAAAGGGAGAGGGTCCAAATCAATAAAATCAGAAATGAAAAGGAGAAGTTACAAATGACAACACAGAAATACAAAAAAAAATCGTAAGAGGCTACTAAGAGCAACTGTACACCAATAAAATGGACAACCTAAAGAAGTGGACAAATTCTTAGAAAGGCACAATCTCCCAAGAAATGAATCAGGAAGAAAGAGAAAATATGAACAGACCAATTACCATTACCGAGATTGAAGCAGTAACTAAAAAATTCTCAACAAACAAAAGTGCAGGATTAGATAGCTTAACAGGTGAATTCTATCAACATTTAAAGAAGAGTTAACATCTATTCTTCTGTAACTATTCCAAAAAATTGCAGAGGAAGGAACCCTTCTGAATTAATTCTATGAGGCCACCATCATCCTGATACCAAACCAGACAAAGATATTGCAAAAAAAAAAAAAAAGAAAAGAAAATTACAGGCCAATATCACTGATAAACATAGAAGCAAAATTTCTCAACAAAATATTAGCAAATCAACTCCAACAATACATTAATAGGATCATACACCATGATCAAGTGGGATTCAGCCCAGGGATACAAGGATTTTTCAAAATCTGCAAATCAATCAGTGTGATATACCACATTAACAAATTGAAGAATAAAAACATATGATCATCTCAATAGATGCAGGAAAAGCTTTTGATAAAATTCAACATCTGTTTATGATGAAAACTCTCCAGAAAGTGGGCATAGATTGAACACACCTCAACATAATAAAGGCCATACATGACAAACTTACAGCAAACATCATACTCAATGGTGAAAAGCTGAAAGCATTTCCTCTAAGATCAGGAACAAGACAAGGAAGCCCACTCTCACCACTTTTATTCAACATAATTTTGGAAGTCCTAGCCACATCAATCAGAGAAGAAAAGAAAGAAAAGGAATCCAAATTGGAAAAGAAGAAGTAAAACTGTCACTGTTTGCAGATGACATGATAATATACACAAAAAATCCTAAAGAAGCTACCAGAAAATTACTAGAGCTCATCAATAAATTTGGTAAAGGTGCAGGAAACAAAGTTAATATACTGAAATCTGTTGCTTTTCTATAGACTAGAAATGAAACATCAGGAAAAGAAATCAAGGAAATGATCCCATTTACCATTGTATCAAAAAGAATAAAATAAGTAGGAATAAACCTATCTATGGAGGCAAAAGACATATACTCTGAAAAGAATATAGTGTCTACTGATGAAAAAAAAATTGAAGATGACACATGTGGAAAGATACACCATGTTCTTTGATTGGAAGAATCAATATTGTTACAATGGCTATACTACCAAAGGCAATATACAGATTCAGTGCAGTCCTTACCAAATTACCAATGGAATTTTTCACAGAACTGACACGAAAAATTTAAAACATTTTATGGAAACACAAAGACTCCAAATAGCCAAAACAATCTTGAGAAAGAAAAACAGCTGGAGGAATCAGGCTCCCTGACTTCAGACTATACTAAAAAGGTACAGTAATCAAAATGGTACTGACACATAAACAGACGTATATCATTGGAACAGGATAGAAAGCCCGGAAATAAACCCACACACTTATGGTCAATTAATCTACAACAAAGGAGGCAAGAGTATACAAAGGAAAAAGACAGTCTCTTCACTAAGTGGTGCTGGGAAAACTGGACAGCTATATGTGAAAGAATGAAATTAGAATATTCTCTAACACCATATACAAAAATAAACCTAAAATAGATTAAAAACCTAAATGTAATACATATACTCTAAAACTCTTAGAGGAAAACATAGGCAGAACATACTTGGACATAAATCACAGCAGTATTTTTTTGGATCTGTATCCTACGGTAACAGAAATAACAACAAAAATTAGCAAATGGGACCTAATCCAACTTAAAAGCCTTTCACAGCAAAGGAAACCATAAATTAAACAAAAAGACAACCAATGGAATGAAAGAAAATATTTGCAAACAATGCAACCAACAAGTTAATTTCCAAAATATACAAACAGCTCATACAGCTCAATATAAAAAAAGCAAACAACCCATTCAAAAAATGTGCAGAGGATCTAAACAGGCTATACTACAAAGAAGACATATAGATGGGCGATGGGCATATGAAAAGATGCTCCACATCACTAATTATTAGAGAAATGCAAATTAAAACTACAGTGAGGTGTCACCTCACACAGGTCAGAATGGCCATCATCAAAAAGTCTACAAATAATAAATGTAGGAGAGGGTGTAGAGAATTGGGAACCCTCATACACTGTTGGTGTGAATGTAAATTGGTACAGCCACTATGGAAAACAGAATTGAAGTTCCTTAACAAAGTGAAAATAGAGTTACCATATGATGCAGCAATCCCATTCCTGGGCATATATCTGGAGAAAACTCTAATTTGAAAAGATACATACACCCCAATGTTCATAGCAGCACTATTTACAATAGCCAAGACACAGAAGCAATCTAAATGCCCATCAACAGATGAATGGATAAAGAAGATGTGCAATACATACACACTGGAATATTACTCTGCCATAAAAAGGAATGAAATAATGTCATTGGCAGCGACATGGATGGACCTAGAGATTATCATGCTGAGTGAAGTAAGTCAGACAGAGAAGGACAGATATCATATGATATCACTTATATGTGGAATCCAAAAAAAATGACACAAATGAACTTATTAACAAAACAGCAACAGTCTCATAAACATAGAAAACAAACTTACGGCTACCAAAGGGGAAAGAGGTGGAGGAGGGATAAATTAGGAGTTTGGGATTAATATATATAAGACAGATAAGCAACAAGGGCACAGGGAACTATATTCAATATATTGTAATAACCTATAATGGAACTATATTCAATATCTGGTAATAACCTATAATGGAAAAGAATCTGAAAAGGAATATATATATATGCACACACATATATACACACACATACATATAGGAATATATATACACACAATATATATTGTGTATATATGTACAAAGGAATATATATATACACATATATGTATATATGTGTATATATATATATATGAATCAGTTTGCTGTACACCTAAAACATTGTCAATCAACTATACTTCAATTAAAAGAATTAAAAAACACATGAGTCATTCTCTGATTTACATTCTAAAATTAATCACACTGTCTTCTTGGTCCATGCTTCCTTATTTCTAAGGTTCCACTAGACACCCTTTTCTTTCTGTCTCTAGGTGATGCATTGTTACCATCTATTCTTAGAGTGCATCAAAGGGATGACCACAGAACGACAGGAGCACACAAGTAGAACACCTAGCATTTTACAAGGAAATGCTTTCCCAAAGATGTGATGTTTAATCTCTTTTGAGAGAAAAAAGGAGTTTTCCAAGGCAAGAGGGTTAGGGAGGTGGTAAACAGAATTTTGGAAATGGGAATTGATATGCAGAGGCATGATGCAGCCAAGTATATTTAAAACAGAAAATAGCTAGAGGATGCAAAGTATGCAAAGCATAATGGAAAACTACAGCAAAAAGATTGTTTGATTCAGTTGACAAAGACTGGCATTTAGAAGTTATCTGGACCATACACCGAGGGCATATGATTAGACATGTTTTCAAGAGACAAGACTTCCTGAAATACTGAGAATAGACTTAGGAGATGGTAAATTGGGGACAAAAAGCTGGCAATGGACATGTATAAAAGTAGCATTACAAATACATATTCTATTGATTTTTTTTCAATTTTTTTAAACAATGGAGGTACTGAGGACTGAACCCAAGACCTCATGTATGCTAAGCATTCACTCTACCACTGAGCTATACCTCACCCCACTAAATACACATTTTAAATATTCAAAGTTCAATTTTGAACAAGAGCTGCAGTTGTTTTTAAAAGGAGGACTGAAGTATTCTTTTTAAATTTCCTAATTAATTTCATGCAATTAATAATCCATTCAAATATTGTATATTAGGCAGGTATTGGGACACAATAGTGAGCAAAATAGTTAAAACAACCCTGCCCTTGTGAAGATTATATTCTGGTGTTCAAAGAAAATACTCCCAAGAGGATACCCAGACTGCCATATTAAGGCAAAGAGAGCAGATAAGCCTGCCTAGGAAGCAAAGGGAGCAGGGTCAGGAGTCTTTGTTAAATAACAATTTGTTTATACTTCAACAAGAGGTCATTATGTTCTCTCTTATGGTTACCAAATAAACCCAACATGTTGGGTGGGACAAGCATTATTACTATCCTTTTCAGATTTTAGAGCACAGTGTTACAATATGTAAGTAATTTTGCCAACTTTACTATGTCTGTTGTTAGCAGTAAGCACTGTCACTATAGGTAATCCTGTCCTACACATAATCATCTTCTGGACACTGATGAAATGTCCCATTGCACCACTCTGGAAGGTCACATTTATTGACCTAATGTCTACAGAGTTCCCCTGATTGCATGAACTGCATTGCAGTCTTTGCTTGTTCTATGCATTTCATTGGGAAAACATTTCCATGATTCCAAATCCCAGTCTCAGTCAAAATCACATAAATACCCAAATGCTGATAAATGAAATCCACTATGTTGACAACAACAGATATATCCTCTGCACTTTTGAGAAGTTACCTTGGGAATAAACGAAGAGAGGTCAGACTCACCCTTTGGTGCTCAGATATCTGTCCTCTGCTTTTCCCATGAGTCATATCTGTGCTCAAGAAACACAAAGAGGACTAACTCCGAAGGGAAATGGAGCTTTATTTGCTGCTTACATTGAACAGTAGATAGGAAGATGTCAGGAATTACCTTTGCTTGACAGCAATGTTCCTGATACCAACAGAAGGGAAGGTCTCTGTATTTCTCTGTAAACTGCCAGAAATGTGCTCAGTTTCAGGCATGGAATAGTATTTCTAATGCCAATAGATTAAAACTTAATAATGTATATGATATTAAATTACAGGCATGTTCTTAATCTGAAGCCTGAGTCTTAGTCTCCTTGGGTCCAAAACGTTTTCGAAGGTACATAAATGTAGCAGTCAAAGGTAAAAGCAAAACAGACAAAGCAAGAGTCACAACTAATGGCAAGAAAACTCTTCTGGCAGGTGCTGGGCCACTGTCAACACTACCTCCATTGCCTCTGTGTAGGCAGTAGGGCGGAGACCACCCATAGCCACAGTGGCAGTGATGTTGATTATTGCAGATCCCCTTCATGTTGCAGGTCTCAGGCAAGCAGACTCGTGACAGGAGAGACAGACTGACACACTTCTTGTGTAGGCAGATCTTTCCTGGACCACATATGGTGCCATCTTTCACTTCACCAACATCAGGTATATTCATCCCTAGGTGATAGTCAATACTCCAGCAGGTGACACCATTGATGTGAGTGTACTGTAATGTTGAGTGGTCTCTCAGATGGGGAATGCCTCCCACATTCTCACACTGAACTCTCCCACAAAAGATATCTGAAGTACGACATTTGAGGTATGTTGTGCCATTTATACCACAGTGGCCAAAACGGTTTCCCTGGGAGTTGATTTCTTTATAGCAAATCTGAGATGCACTCTTTGCACCTTCACCGAAAATCTCCCTGCACTGTTCATCACGGTTATTACATCTCTTTTGATAGCAGTAGGCACTGTCATCACTACAGGGAATCCCATCCTGCACATATACATCTTCTGGGCACTGATGAGATGTTCCATTGCACCACTCTGGAAGGTCACATTCACTGACCTGACGTCTACAGAGTTCCCCTGCTGGCATGAACTTGCAGTCTTTGCAACAAAGTCCAAAAGCACAAGCGGCCCCAGGCTTCAGAGTGCAGTTCAACAGACAACAGGGATCTTGTTCACACTGCTTTATAGAGCCACAGTCACACTTCTCTTCTCCTTCAACCACACCGTTCCCACAGCGTTTCAGCATAAAGACTGCCCCTGGAATTGGAGGACTGTACAGACATGATCCCTGGTTTAAAGTGGTCTTTGTAAAGTCTGCATAACTACAATTGGTGAATCTCTCTGATGGCACTCTGACAGCATTCATGATGCAAGCACTTTGCCCACACAAACAGAATTCTTCATCATGCTGCATACCCAAAGTGTGACCTAACTCATGAGCTACAGTGAGGGCAAAAACAGACCAGGGATCTCCTTTGAAATTATTAACTCCACAGTCAATAGGAGGATGACATATTCCTGCAACATAGGCTATCCCAAGTACACTTATAAGTGAATTTTTAATGAAAATATGTGCAGCATCATACTGTAGCTGGGAAAGACTGATTTGTTTCCACTGAGAGAAATCCTCCAGAACCTGTTCTATGCTTATCATTGGGAAAACATTTCCATGATTCCAGATCTCAATTCCAGTCAAAATCACATAAGTACCCAACTGCTGATAAATGGAATCCACTATGTTGACAACAACAAATACATTCTCCTGCACATTTGAGAAATTACTTTGGCAGTAAATGAAGAAATTGTGATCCACCACCACAGTCAGCTCCAGAAACCATGAGTGGGTCCACCAGTTATAAGCAGAATTTTGTCTCAGAGTTAATTTTTCGGCCTCTTCAAATTCCAACTGTTGATGTGCTTTATTTGTTAAGCCACATCTCATAAGTGAGACTTCTGTCTCATTAGTGTTTATCTTATAAATCAGGTGTTCAAATGTGGTAGAGTGCCTGATGGGCTCAATTTCATAAGTAATGTTATTAATCTGTAGCATTCCTTGAAACCCCCCAGAACAAGTACTGAGGGAAACCAGGGACTCCAAGGCCCCCTCCACATAGCCATGATAGTAGCAGTCATCAGGAACAAAAGGCTGATCCTGGCGGAGGGCTTGCTGGTCCGTGTAGGTGAACACTGGGAGATGTCTGGAAACCAAGATCTTCTTAGCCCTCATGTGGACAACATGTTGCCAGCCCCCAAACTGCAGGCTGTAGGAGAGCCAGCCTGGAGCCTTTGCACCTCTGCTTCTGTTGGTAACCTTTGAGGGGATCACCACTTCTGGGGAGCTGAGGCTTTGGGAACGCCCAGCCTGGGAGAGGCCACAAGGGAACAGAGACACCTCAAGCCAGAGCAGTACAACGACTCCCATGGATACCACAGCCTCACCAGCCACCATTATGGAATGGCCATTATGAAACCATCTGTTCAGAGAAAAACAAAGTGAGGCACTGCTGATCTGGCTCGTCTCTGAGTTGACTTTTAAGGATGTGTGTCCTGTCAGAGTTGGACAATCAGAGCTGTAGTGCTGAAAGTGAAAATAAAAAGAAGGGTTTGGATAGCGGGGGGGGATTGGGTAAGGAAAGTAGGAAAAAGAAGTTGAATGGGGAAAAATTACTAATAAATCAAGAAAAAGCTTTGGATTTGTTTTCAATAAATGGGGGGGTGGGTGGGAAGTTAGATGGGGTATAGGTAGTACAATATTGGCCATATGTTGATAGTTGTTGGATTTGACAATAGGTACTTAGGTTTCAATATACAATTACCTCAATACATATAGGTGGAATAAAAATCTCTCCTATAAAAAGTTAAAGCAAAAGTAAAGGAACTTTAGAGTAGGGTGACTGTATATCTCAGTTGGTCCAAGATCACGTTGTTTATACCTGCTGTCCTTGTGTAACTATTGGTACTTTCCACTGTGAAAACCGGAGAGGTCAGAAATAATCACAGTCCTTACATCAATTTGTATCAGATTGATACAAATCGATTTTCTTTAGAGTTTCTTTATCTCAAGTTATTTACTTGTCTCCTTGCTGTATTCTCCTTCATCCACAACTCTATGGGACTGTAAGGTCATTGAGGGCAGGGTTTATGATTTTAACTCATTTAAGAATTCCCTATAATACCTAGTATCATTCTCTATACAGTGGAAAATGGAAATGGGGGAGGGGTGGTGAAGTACTTGGGTTATAGATGAATGTCACTTAAGATGTATTCTTATATGAATATAATTTTATAAGAGAAAAAAATCATAAAAAACTGACATCTTCTAAAGGAATGAGGAGAACAGTGTTGTTCTCTTCAGTTACCTACAGGAGAATACCAAAGACAAGAGGAAATGCCTTAAGAAGGGAAAGTGAGAATTCATGACATTTAAAGGCTTGGGGAAAGGAACTCTGTCTTCTGGGCAAAGGCATGAGAGTGCCTGGTATTTTAGGATTGCAAGGGAAAATTCCCAATGTCTGCTTAAATATATTTACCAACAGGTTTTGAAAGTGGGGGAATTTCTGTACCTGGCCTACAGTCTCTCTGGCAACACTCCTTCATTTCTCTTCTTAATTCATTAAACAATTATTTATATGTTTGGAGCATACAAAGTACAGGACATTGTGCTACATGTTAGGGAAATAAAGTAAATATACAGAGCATTAAATAAATTATCAATTTTGTACAGAAATGTGTGGCAGGGACTTATAATATTGTATTCAACATTTCATGTATTATGTGCCCTTTTCTTTGGCTGAGTGTCTATAGACATCATCACAGTCTCAGCCTAAGTGCCAAAAAAGTAGGTAAAAAGCACTGATCCTATGGAAAAATAGATAAGTAATCAGCTTACTATAATAGGATCTAAATAATTAATTAATTTAAATAGATTAATTAATCTAAATAGATCAATTAATCTAAATAGATTAATCTGAGGCCAATAAAGTTAATGACTCAGGGATCCTCACTGTACAGACCTCCATAAACCCCTGGGAAGTGCTTAGTAATACAGTTTATGAGAGTCATCAATATAACACTGTTCAAAATTAGTCACTACACACAAGCAAATTTAAAGTGCCCTGAAATATCACAGTTTATACATTAAAGACTTGATAAAGGTTTCCTGAAATTCAACAATAATTTATGTAGTATTTATTGTATTACCAATAACAAGTTGTAAAGCTGATTTTTCTAAACTATAAATAATAAAGAATAAATTTTGATTGAATATCCTAGGGATAGTCAATTATCTTCCTGTTCTCTCCAGAGAAAATGTAACAAAATAATTCTCATAAGACAGGCAATTAAAGAGGAAGCAATTATAAAACTGTAGGGAAACATATTATAGAAGTGTATCAGGAAGTTAATATAAGTACTGGGTTTTAAAAATTTTGTGATGGTTATCATATTTTCAAACTTTTAAAATTTATAATTCATTGTGATTTCTTCCTCATGTTAAATAAATGTTCATTTTTATCCTTATTGTAATTTTCTATTCTTTTTCTTAAAGTGTCCTCTCTTGTAGATGCTTCAGGTCCAAAAATCTGATTTCAGCAGTGACTGTGATAAACATACTGACAAAGGTAAGTTCAGTTTCTTATGAGTAAACACAGGAAGAGCAACTAAGCCAAGCTAATTGAGAAGCCTTGCATGGGAGATGTGAAAATAAAGGTGACTGATCCAGTACCAATTATCTCCTGGACTCTGAATCATTCCTAGTCAATATTTCCTTTACTCTGATTCAAATTCTTCTATGTCATCCCTCCATTGAACTTCCCCTATTACTTCTGCAATCTTCATTTAATGAGAAAGGAAGAGAGAGAGAGCCAAACTCAATCCTCAACCTCTTCACAGAGCTCCCTATACCTCTTTACTTTATTAAACCTGAGCTTCTGTAGAATTTACTGCTTGCCCTAAAGCTCACTCTAGAGAAACTCACGTCACAGAAGTCATATGTGCTTTATGGTCCACAGGCTGGGTTCCGGTTGTCCACAGCCCATAAAGTCCATTCAGGACCACTTACCCTGCTACATTTGACTAGACTGATTTTTAACATTTCTTTCTCACTCTTCCATCAACCACTCCCTGCACAAATTTCAAAGACTTTGACATCTGAAAGTGGAAGTCTCTCTCCACCCTAATTGTTAGTGAGTTAGTGTGTGTGCATTTCTCAAGAGAAGAGTCTAGCCTGTCCAACTCTTCTATTTGTCTTAGCAGATTTCCCAGCAGGCACAGGGGCTCCCCAGGTCGAAGAGTCCACCTGTATGGACTTTCTCTTGCTTATAAATCCCTCCCATGGGTGCCAGACGTGATGCCTTTTTTTCCGTCCTACTTGGTTACATGGATTTGTATTTTGCAGCTTTGGTCGTACAGAAGATCTGCCAGTTTCCAATTCATTTTATGTGAGATTTTTTTCCTCATACAGATGTATTTTTGACATGTTTTTTGGGGGAGGTGAGTTCCATGTCCTCTTACTCTGCCATCTTCATCTCCTCCTCACTCTGCCATCTTGATCCCTTCCTCAGGTGGTTTTGATTCAAAATAGCACTTTATAGATACAGAGCATCACAATTATGTCCTAGAGTAAGAAATGTGGCTTTTTGGGGGTCAGGGTTGGGTTTTTTAAAACTGAAATATAGATTGATTTACAATAGTAGCTTCAAATGTACAACATAGTGATTTAATATTTTTATAGACTAAACCATTTAAAGTTATATAAAGGATTGGCTATGTTCCCTGTGTTGTACAGTATATCCTGGTAGCTTATGTATTTTATACATAGTGGTTTGTATTCTTAATCCTCTACTCCTATTTTCCCCTTCCCTGATCCCTCTCCACCATGGTAACCACTGATTTGTTCTCTATATCTTTAAGTCTGTTTCTGTTTTGTTATTGTATTCATTTATTTTATTTTTTAGATTCCTCATATAAGTGTCTTTCTTTGTCTTTCTTTGTCTGACTTAACTCACTAAGCATAATACCTTCCAGGGCCAACCATGTTGTCGAAAGTGGTAAAAGTTCATTCTTAAATTTCATTAAAATTGGCTGAATAATATTCGTGTGTGTGTGTGTATCACATCTTTATCTATCATCTGTGGATGGACACTTGGGTGGCTTCCATGTCTTGGCTATTGTAAATACTGCTGTCATGAACATTGAGGTGCACGAGTCTTTTCCAATTAGTGTTTTCTTTGGGGGAGGTTATATACCCAGTAGTGGAATTGCTGAATCATATGGTAGTTCTATTTTTAAGTTTTTGAGGAACCCCCATAC